ATCTACATGGTCTGAATCAGGATTCTGTCTGTCCACATGGTCTGAAACTGGACATACGGTCTGAATCCGGAGTTGTTCGGTCCACACGGTCTGAATCTGGGTTTTTTATCTACATGGTCTGAATCAGGATTCTGTCTGTCCACATGGTCTGAAACTGGACATACGGTCTGAATCCGGAGTTCTTTGGTCCACACGGTCTGAATCTGGGTTTTTTTATCTACATGGTCTGAATCAGGATTCTGTCTGCCCATATGATTTGAAGCTGGATTCCATCGGTCCACACGGTGTGAAACTGGATTTTGTTGGTCCACACATTCTGAAACCGGATTTTGTTGGTCCACAGGTTCTGAAACCGGATTCCTTCAATCCACATGGTCTGAAACCGGATTCCTTCAATCCACACGGTCTGAAACCGGATTCTGTCGGTCCACGCTGTCTGAATCCGGGTTTCTTGGGTCAACACGTCTGAAAGCGGATTCACTCAGTCCACACGGTCTGAAAATCATATTTTCTGCTCCACACGGTCTGATTATACCATATTCTGGTCCATACGGTGTGAACAAACTAAATTCTGGTCCACACGGTCTGAACATGAAACCACGACCTCGACCCGCGATTTTCAAGGTCAGAATTGACCAAACAAAACGTAAATAGTTTAATAGATAAAAACAACACTTCCCCCACTAGGAAAAAATTCAAAAATAACAAATCTAAACTACTACACGTATCCTTTCCTCGATTGACCGACAAAAGAAAAACTAGAAAATCACAACTTTTAAGAAATAGGAGGACTAAGCATTAAGAGTAGGTCAACAATTAGAATCGCAAAAAATAAAATTGTTATGCCAATGATTTTTAATTAAATACTCTGGAAATTGATCAAATGGCAGTACTGGGTTACGAAATGTGAGTTTAGTGAATGGTGGGTAATGAGAATGAATAGAGCAAATTTGAAACTACAGACCTCTAGGAAATTAAATTGAGCTAGACAATTTGGCCCGAACTAGCCCTCCGTTACATAATAGACTCAAGGTAAAATGAATGAATGAGGTTTGGATATTCGGTGGCCAAGTTTTAAAGATTTGATCGAATTTATTAGAGTTAGATCATTGATTGCTCTCTCTGATAAACGACTCCATCTGTGTCAATAAAAGACTCTCTAAGATCAACTCAATATGAATGTCTTTCACAGCGTCCTGTCTGGGCTCCAAAAGAAAAAGCAGTTCCTGCAGTTCGGAATCAGAATGCAGAGAAGCATTAAGTTGAATGTTGACGGTTTTTCTGAGTTTCGGTGTTTAATTATGCGGTCTCGACTACTGTATGCTGTGTACTTCGTTTGAATCAGCAGCGATCGTATCTTTTGCCTTCGCTATTAAGATATGATTGGATGGTTGGTCGCTCGGTTGTGACAGAAAAATCTCCGTCTTGCTTGACGCGATCAGAAAGGGGTTCGCGAGGGATGCCTGTGGTTCGGCGGAATAAAAAAACTCTACATAGATCCGATTACTAAGCAAATTTGGAAACCGACGTTCCTACGGGGACGTGTAGTTTTGAAATAAGCAGCTGGGCTTTTACTATTCAGTTCCTAGACCGGAAATTTTTTGTGCTATCTCTCGTCAAGTCAATTGTGGTTGGTAAAGTCGGTACTAGTGTTGCATACGAATGAGACAATTCCGTTTTTGGTCACGATCTGTAGTCCGAGTCTAGCAAAGTTGTAGCAGGTGTGGTTGAGGATGTAGTTGCTGCCTGTATGACGGAAATTGGGCAACCAGATGAGGTGTCCTGTTGATTTGGTAAAATTTATTCACCTAAGTTCAACAATTCTATTTTATTACTAGGGACTGAGTTTTTGCCGAAGGGCTTATTTCCCTCTCCCTGATGTCTATTTACTTCCATGTTGCTAATAAATAGCTTTGTATCCATATATCTACATGGAAAACCGCCAATAGTCCGCTCCCATTTACTCAAATCCGACGGATAAAATGGAAGATGAAATGATTCTATTTCTGTTAAACAACCTGTAGGTGAGGTTTGCACAGTTTTTTTGGGTTGTACTCAGGTCTCAGGTCTCAGGTCTTCTGTTTTGGTCCTCCTTTTTTGGCTTCGAGTGGTCTGATTACTTTTCTTGAAGGCGAGTTGTTGCTGATGCCGAGGGTACGATGGCTTCTTCAGCTCGGGTCCTTGGGTCACTGCTACTCATTTGGAGTGGTTATGCGCCTGCTAGGAAATTTTGTTTAAAGCTCCTTACTTTCTGTCCATCGGAGTTTAACCAAGCGATGTCGGATTTGCTTGAGATTTTACCAATAGTTAGCTTAATGGTAGTTTCCGATAAGCTAGTGATTTTATCTCCAGTTCCCCGTTTTCTCTATCTGCAACCTTTCCGAAAACGTTACTTTTATTTGAAGGGCCTGTCAGAGCTTGTCTCGTGTTTTTGGGTACGTCCTTCTTTGTTTGGCAGGTAGAAGGGTCCAACTCGTAGTTTTCTCTGAAGGATCGTGTTTTCTGTTCTCAATCAGCGAGTCCAAGTAGCCGTTTTATATTCTGTCGTCTGCAGCCCAATTCTTCGCACGTGAGTCTGATAAGAGATGGACTTTCCTTGATATAAACAATATCAACCAGATTTTTCCAATATGAGTTCGATTTTCTGATGTAGTGTTTCTCGAACAGGGTTCAGTTGATCATTGATTGAATCGCGCTTCTTAGGTTCTTAATAATTTTTGATAACGCACCGTTTAATGAAGGTGTAGGGTTTTGTTTTTTTAATTACCTTTTGGGTACGTTTTTTGATTGTGTCAATCATTTTTTTGACCAATCCGTTCAATTGATGATCGCCGACTGTACAGTTTATTATTTTATTTTTATTTGAGTCGCAAAAGTTTTGAACTCATGGCTAGTGAAGCAGATGGCATGATTCATTCTAGTTTGTTTCGGAATAATAGGTAGATTATTGAAACCTTATAGAAATTGAAATATTCGACTTGCTGACGTGCTTGAAGTAAGTTTTGTCGAAGGAAACTTATAAAGTCGATCTATACAAATATATTATATTTTTGGTTGCCCCTGTTAATATCCAACAAACCGGCAAAACCCAAGTCACTTTCTTCAATTGTGTTCGTTAATTTAAATAAAGAATTCACCTCGGATGACGGTATTAAGAATTTTAAATTTTATCTGCTTTAAAACACTTTAAGCGTTTTTTTTCATAGTACCAGATGAGTGTTTTGATGTTAGGTCTTCGCACGTATATCGCAAGGAATTCCGTCCTAAATTTTCCTGGAGGTGTCTCAATTATTAGTTTCAATACAGCGTCCTTAGCTGTGAATAGCTCTACCAGGTCGTTATCCTTTTACAGTAATCCAATCGACAAGTCTTTATTTAACTCGTGAAAGTGCTTTCCAAATTGAGTTGACTAAGGAGCCGTTTTTTTTTCTCCCAGGTTTTAACTGTGGCTTAAATAAAATGTCTTTTTTGGTAATAAGGGAACGAATCTTTGTGTTATTCAGCTAACTAGTGTCCAAGTGTGTTTCTCGTAGTTTTAGGCTTTCTCTGTTTTTACGGGCCCTTGTTGTGTGTTTTGTTTTGTGATTTTGTGTCGTTGGTTCTTTTTGGCGTTTGAATTTCGATTGAAACTTGGATGGTGATTCTGGGGTTTCTGCAGTGGTTGTCATTTTGAGATGGTTTGATATCCCCTTCTTGTCTACTAGCGCTAGGTTCAATGCGTTTTGTGATGTGAGTGTGTCAGATATTAGTTTACTTTGAATATCGTAGTTTCTCATGTTGATGATTTATATATATTCTGAATCCAGTTTTTTTCTACGCTGGTTATATCACACTTTTTGGCCTTTTCTGCAAATAGCTAAACCAAAATCTCTCAATCTTTTTGTTTTTCTTCAACAGCTTGTGATATTCAAAACTGATGCTTGGTTATTAGATGAAGAAGGTTCAAATGATCCTAAAACACGTGGAAATAAATCTTAAGAATTTTCACTTTAGTGAATTTTAGGCCAAAAGTTATTTTTCCTTCGGTTCTCAAGTCTAGAAAAAACAAAAATCTGATTTTCTTAGCCGCTTCTTCCTCTGTAAAATCACTGTGAAATCACTTAATTTTTATTCGATTGTACTGCGAGGGTTGAATTGTGTGCCCTTGAAACTTTCCAAAAACTGCCCATCCCGAAATTTATGTTTTTTGATTTTTTGATCTATAAAAAACTCAAGCGCGACCTTCACAAAACCAAGTTTAGTATAAAAAAATTACGTGCCCTCACTTCCCTCATGAATGAGGGGAACTGCTGAACTAAAAGAAAACAATATTTTGTTTATTTCGTGATACTTATTGCTTCAAGCTTGAATTAAATTAGATTTTTACCGTGTTTTTGAAGAATAGCTAAAATATAATTCTTATAATTGATTTTTATTTTGTGATAACATTTCGACAGAAAAAGGGATTATAATCTATTATAAAATATTATAACAGATTAGAGGAGATTATAATTTGTTATAATTTCACCAAAATTAATACCATTATGGCGGATTATAAATTGTTAAATCAAGTTAAATATATAAAATCGATCCTTAAAATTAATTATAATTTTGATAAAAGTACCATTATCAATAGTAATATAATTTTCTCTTTTTACTGAGTGTGGGTAGGCAAAATCTGAAAGAGCCTACCAATTTACTTTTCCCCAAGTTTTCTGTGCCGCTGAAAAAAGCCAATGATGCCGTTTTGGGAAATTTTTGGTCACCTTGCCCTCAGAAATAGCATGCAATTGGCGCCGAAATGCGCCTTCTGGAAAGTTTTAGGATGTCGTAAAAAGAGATGTCGTAAAACAGTTACATGGGATTTTGGATGGTAAGAGCGCCGAAACCTTGAGGGGGCATTTAAAGCACCGCACCTTCCGAAATCCACCCCTGTGTAGATATTTAGTGTTGATAAGATGGCCTAAATGATTTTTAAAATAAAAACCTCACCACTACCATAATTCTGCTTGAAGTTATACCTCATAACTTTGCTCAAAATGGCATAAAACACAATGTTGATAAGGGTCGTGAAGTTTCCAGCACAAAGAAACCACAATTTGAGAAAGAAATCCAACCCGGCATAACCCAAAATTGGCCCATGAAAGGCCAGAACAAACTGCTGGATAATTACAGGGATATAAATAATAACGTAAACAATAGCTGTCACTGAAAATGGAATCGAATTTCTGAGAACAGTCCGAGAAAATTCCGCCCGGATTTCATACGATGCATGATCTTCATGTCGGTTTCTCGACCGCTCAGCTGAAGAGTGCATTTGTTTGTACTGAGTATACGCACGGTAAACAATGAACCCAAACACCACTTGTGAGGCAAGAATAAGACCGGAGTTCACAATGTAGAATGGGATGAAAATAGCAAGTGCTTGGTCAATTAGCAGACATTTCGTTCCATTGTCTGCTAGTTCGAAAATGTATTTGGGCTGACACCCGGAACTTAAATGGCATCAATTTAGACATCAACATAATTGTAAAATTTGCTTCTGCGTTTTGAACCTAATGGAGCGGCGTGCAAAAAAAATTTAGCATTTGAAGCAAGGCGTAGAATTATGTTTCAGTATTGCAGACTTTGACCTGTTGAGTTATGACCGAGTTGGTTAACTCATAGAGTAATTTCGGATAGGGTACACCGTCTGCTCGTCACGCTATCTTATTTTCGGCCGGATAGATTCGTGCAACTTCTTAGTCTAATACCGATCCTAATCTTACTCTTATACTATCTAGTCTTAGGTTGTTTAACTAGTCTCTGCTAGGCTCAATAGATCTAGGGTATACTGGTTTATTGCGGCTGCTGAAGTGCTCGGGAGAGTCCAACTAATTTCTAAGTTAAATTCAAATCTCTCTGGTGCTGAAATTACAAGTAACTTCAGCACTTACAAATAAGTGGGTTGTTAGTTAGATGGATCATGATTGGTTAATATTAAATACTTTACATTGGTAAAATATCTAAATTATCCAATCATAAAATGTAGTTTAGATCAGGTTCCACCCATCCGGGTTTTACAGAGTTTTTTAGAATAGTTCTTCTGCAATTCGAAGGATGGATGATGGAAGTTGGTGTTTGGCGAACATCTTATTTCTTCTGTTTCCTTTTTGTTAAAGAAGTTCCAGGAAGCTGGAGTTAGAGACATAAGACGTTGTGTCTTCTAGTGACAACGACTAAGTCTTCGCAACAAACTCAAATCTGATTTCAGAATGGTTGGCTATGTCAGGTTTTTCTGTTCTGCGTGGAGAACTTCTTTTGTGTCTGATCTAGTTTGGGAATGGCGTGGAGATTGTGCGTGGAGGGGATGCCTGGTTACTCGGATCTGTACGTATACTTGAACATCGAGGTGGTCATTGGTCTAGTTCAATGAAGTCCTTTTCTGCGAAGTCAAGTCGTACTCTAAATCCTTTGAGTTGTGATTGTGAGTGGCATATCGATTGTGGTTGGTCATTCTCTCTCGAGTGTAGTGGGGTCGTTTTGTCTTTAGATGTTCGTCCTTGGTGTTGTATTCTGATCTATGTATTGCATAATGTAATTTACATTTTATAAAACATTTATTAGTTTAATATTTTTTAATTATGATTTTAGTTAGTTGTTTTCACAAAAGCTTTTTGTTTTAGTTTGGTTATTTTGAAGAGTTACTCACACTTGAGTAGCTCTTATTAAAAATAGAGGTGTGGTCACAAAGCGTGGATGTAGCGCGGTGGGTTAGGCCGGCTATAGAGCATGCTCAGGACGCCCTTCCTGGTGGGTTAGGCCAGGAGTGGGAGTATGATTTCATGCGGTTTTTGTGAGGGGTCCTGTTATGTGACAACGTTTTATGTTGGGTTTGTTGTGGTTTTTCTTATGTCTTGTTGGTTATGTCCTTTTTCCAAAAATCAAATTGTTTGTGGTATGGGTTTGTCTTTCGACTTTTTTGTGTTTTGTTATTTCTTTCTTAGACTTTATAATAGTCTTCAAAAGAATAAATTATCCAGTTTTAAACTGGGTTAATCCGGTTTGGGTACCGTTGGTTTCCTTTTCTTAGTCATGCTGTTATTCTATGATTTGTGGTATTTAGTAAGCTGCGTTGGTTAGTTTTGTTTAGTATATGATTCCTTTCCAACCGGGTTAAAGGAAGGTTTGAAACATGTTATTATATGTTAGAGTTGTTGAGTGTGAAAACTTGAAACTGAAATTCATTATTTTAAACAATTCTTCGTGGGCGAGCTGTGCGAGTGTGGATAGAATTTCTGTGCGAGTGAATGAAAATATCAAAAGGTTAGTACTGCAATTGCATTTTATTAATTTACTGCATAGAATTTGGAAATTTACTGCTAGTTATGGGGGAATTTTAAGTTACAAATTTTCATCATGATTAGATTTACTGCTTGTGGGGAAAATTTTAGAAATGAATTTACTGCATTGGTATTAAATTTATAAATTTATAAGTGTAAGAGATTAATAGAATTGTTGAAGTCTGTTTGATGAAATTTGCGATCTTTATTTGTTTTTTGTGGTTTTTGTAGGTGATCGTCGGATGAAGGCTAAAAATCTAAGGAAAACATGGATAAAGTATGGTGAGTTTTTTAATATTTCAATTAGTTAGTAATATTCATTTAATTCATACTTACCTGTTAGTCGTCGGGGAAAAAACCGTGGGGGAAGATGTCGTGAATTAGTTCTGAAGTTGTTAGTAGTTTAGCTAAGATGCGGATGATATTTTTAGTCTGAAGCAGTGGCCAAAGCAATTGAAGTGCCTTAATAGTGGTTAGTTCTTCAGTGCCAACTGCAAACTCATAAGGTGTGTTTTGGATTAGATTATATAATTTGTGATTGAATTTAGTGTTGTGGATGAATTCTAAAATTGGGATTTCTATAGGTTGTACAAACTCGTGCGGGATAAGGAAGGGTCGGGATTCTTCGGCGTTGAAGGTCTTGGTGATGGGACAGAAGATGTACATTTGGGTTATGGGGTCATAATTACAAAGAATACCATGGAGGTTAGTGTCTTTAATACAATATGTGAAATTTAGGAAAAATGGTGAAGTGTATTTGGAATTAATGAATTGAAAACGATGGTGTGGTTGTCTAGAGGGTGTGTGTAGGTCAAAGTGATTTTGGATGAAGCGATAATAACTATATGTGTGGGTTTGTTTAGTGCGCAACATAATATCGTGTGAGCAGTGTAAATCTCTTTCGTGTGGTGCAAGGAAATGAAAGGTTAGTGAAAATATTTGATTTATTATTGTGTGATTGTGTATGATTGTGTGTCTGTTAGTGCTTCTGAAATAATGTGATCAAACTTTCGGTCGAAGATGTTTAGTGTAAATATATATGGTGTCTTGATGAAAAATTTCTCAGTAATTTGTGGATTAGCGAAGCGATCGTCGTCTAAGAATTGATCTTGGTTAGCTCTGATGATGTTGTGATCATAGTATTCGAGTGTATATTCGTTAGCTCTAGGTGCAGTGTGTGTTTTTAGTGATTTTTTATATCCAACGTAAGTAAATTGTCTAGCGGTTAGTGGTGTAGTGAGTCGATATAGCATGTCCGTATTTCGCTCTATATCGATGTGAGTGTTAGATAAAGGTAAGCAAAGAGGGTTAGTAAAATGATAATATGAGGTCCAAGAGAGAGTGGGCATTAAAACGTATTCATCTACAAAGTTGCGTGTTTCGTTAGTGTCGTGGGGGGTGTTTAAGGTGTATTGTGGGAATGAGGGTAAGGTGATGGCTAAAAATTCTTTTGTGTTAGTATGCTTGGGGTGGTTGATGTATTCACGGGCTGTTCCTGGTTTTGCTGGGAAAGGATGGTTGGGGAACTTTCTTTTAAAAGTGCGGTAAGCTCTATTAGTGTTGAGTGAAGATTCAGTTGATGTGGATGATGGTGCTAATGATTCAGTATAATTTGAAGAGGGTGTAGGGGTAGGGGGGTTGGATGAATTTATTGTGGAGGAGATTTGGTTTATGGTTGGGGTATTAAGGTGGTAGGGTTGTTGTTGAAGGGTAATAAAATTATCTAGCTCTGGTGAGATTCGGGGGGTGTCTGGAGAATGAGATGATTGGTCAGAATGGTATGAGGAGTAGGTTGGGGTAACTTGGGAAGCATAAGAGGGTGTGGGAGTGATTGGGTCAGGGTTATTGGATAATATGGGTTGAAAAGGGGGTTGAGAAAAATTAGAAGAGTTATGAAAATTATTGGATGGGGATGGTTCTGAATCGGCAAATTCATCGGGGGTTTCAATATTCGGGTTATTGAGTTGTGAGATGGAATATAAAACTGAGATGTGTGAATTAGTGTCGGAATTCATGCCTGATGTTACATTACTAGGTGGAAAATCGGGTGGCGGAAAAGCAAAAAGTGGTATTATTGGGATTGGAGAGGTAAGATTGGTTGGGTGGGAATTTGATCGGTGTAGTGATCCAAGTTGGCGGCTCATCGTGGGCTAAAAAAATGATTATTTTGAGACTGAAAAGCGGTGGTATGGGGTTGTTCAATAATTTGTTCATAAGTATTATCATCTTGTGACTGGTGTGTCATTATATGTTGGATGGGACTTTGTGATGTGGTGAGTCGAAAATTTGGATTATGTGTGATGGCTAAATTTCGAAAATTTCGTGGGACTAGGGATAGTGGATGGTTATTTGGTAGGGGTGCTAATTGTGGTGCCTAATTATGTCTACATTGTTATGTTCTTCGTCGTATGTATTTTGTCGTGTTGTTATTTTTGTGTTATATTCTTTTATTTGTGCGTCTAAAAGAATTTTGTTTATAGATGTAGAAAAGATTCCAAAAAATCCTGCAAAGAGTATGCGTGCTACGCTTGCTTGTCTGTTTACTTGTGTGTGTATAGCACATGTGTTGTAGATTCCTTTTAAAAGTGAGAAAAGAAATCCAATAAAGTTAAACATTGCGTATAAAATAGTCAAGTTTTCTAAGATGTAATAGGGCCATCCTAGAAAATCGAGGATCTCATTTTTGAGTGTAACAAAGCTAAAAATGTTAATTGGTGATATATCTTGGGGACGGTATTTTTCACCGTTTAGATATATATAATCTTTAATGTCTTTAAAATATCCGCTATAGTCTTGCGTGTAGATATCGGCAAAACCTGCGGTTTCTGCAATTTTGCGTAAATTTTGGTCTATTGATTGTCTTTGTATAGTGTCCATTTGTGTCAATAATTCTTGGAATTGTTGTGTTCTAATGTGATGTTGAATATCTGATTTTGAATAGATTCCTATTGATTGTAAGTCTATATTTGGGTTTCGAGCAATAGCGCGAATGCTTTCTGGTGAAAATTTTTTGAGTGATTGCATTAATGTGGGATATGGAGTGAGAAGATAATATTTATTTTCATCAGGGTTTAGTTGTACTACATTGTGGCTGTTTTCTGATCCACATGGGACTGCGGTATCCCAGAAATAGGTTCTTCGTGAAAGTGTATCCACGAAATGTACTTTATTCT